CTGAAATCATGCACAGAATGAGGGGAGATTCAGTTTGACCTTTCCAGACTTGCTGCATTTTAATTCTTCCTATGGGTAGAAATAATATAGAAAAAAACCCAGCAGGTAATATTATTTTTGTATAAAGCTCTCTAATTATACTAGGCATGTTCAGAATACATTAAAGATACTGTCCCGACACCAAAAAAATTTACAGTGTGCTTTTAGATATTACATAACTAATGAGAGCAATAAATGCTGGGAGAACGAATGGATCAAGGTTACAATAATAAGATTATAGGATTCCTCCACTATGTGTGCATAGTTTAAGATTCACTTCAATTTTGCTGCCTCAGTCTGGGCTTTGGTTTTCATTTTGGCTTTTTCTTTCTTTATGAGATTTAATTTTATCTCTGAATCCACCAGACCATAACAACCTGGCAAAAAAAACTCTGACCAGACTTTTGATTTTCTTTCTTTTTTTTCCTTCTTTATAAAATTGGGTTGTGCCTGCTCTGCTTGCACAGCCACCATCAATGTCCTGTTTGCATCAGAACCACAGCCTTTTCTCTGACAGCAGTCACAGCTGAAATACACCTGAATGCTTGCACTACTTTATTCTACATGGGGAAAGAGATACAAAAAAAGAGTAATTATGTGATTTCTACACATTTGTACTTGGATTCTTAAATCCCCACCTTGAAGACCCACAGCATGCACCATGCATGTGGCATGTGAAGCAGACACAAAGCTCATGCTAATGCTCCATCTTCTCCTTCTCATCCAGCCTTAACAGTCACTTACAAATGATTTCTGAAAAATCAATAATGCACCTTACTGGCTTTTTTGTAATGTATAAGAAAGGGCATTTTTTTGCCAATTTTTTAAACACTGAAAATATCAGCATTGTAAAATTGGATTTTTACTTATTTTCTTTGGGGTTTCAAGAGACATGTATTGACAGCAGCCACCTCTAGCTGAATCAGAAGTATTGAATGTATAACACAAATTATTCGATCTTCAACATATTTGAATTATCCTCATGTTAAAAAAGAAGTGATCGGGAATCTTTTCTCCTTTCAAGTCTTTGCTCTTGTGTTATTATTCTTTCTTATGTTCTTTAATCACCACAGCCTTGCAGGCTGCAAACGAAAGATAAACAAACAATGGAATATCTAATGTTTCAAATACAAGCACAGATAAAAAAAGTAAAGCATAACCCTCAAGTCCTTATAGATTAAAAATAAGTAAAGAAATGGCATAAATTTCTATTTAGAAAAATAATTTATTTCTCAATATTTGTAATGAAGGGAGTTGTCAGTCACATTAATTTTTATGTAAATTTACCTAAGCTGATGAATCATAACTGAAATATTGTCTAATCTTCCCGGTTTTGGCCAGCATTTCCATTTCCATTTCGATTGCCTCAATTTATTTTTGTTTGCTTATATAATGAGTTTTAAGGGCCCATCCCAGGACCCATAATGAGCAGAGTGAAAAGAGGGGCTGCTTAAGGCACTGCCAGTCCCACACAGCAGTGGCTGCCCAGCCCATCAGACCAGTCCCCATGACAGACACTGAGCTTGGCACACAGCTGACGATTCATTATCATTCCTTCGGTAGACATCACAGCAGAGGAGATTTTTAGGGAGGGATTTGAAGGAGGAAAATTAAGTGAGTGGGAGTGCGAAGCAGCAGCGAGGGAAAGCATGAAGGTGCTGGTTTGAAAATGTAACAAGTAGAGAGTTATTACTGAATGAAATGTGTGGGGGGAAGCCGTTGGTTTCTCCATAGGCTATTAAAAGATGGTGGGGTGGGAATAAGCTGCAAAGAGCCACAGAAGTGAGGCAGCTTCTGCTTGCCAAGATGTAGAAGGGGGAGGGGGGATGTTCTGGAACAAGGAATAGGGCTGAAGCAGCAAATGTGAGGATAACCAGGGCACCAGTGTCTTGCAACAGTGTTCGGTTATTCTTTCTTGTTTTGTAATGTCCAAAATCAGCCTGTTAGGGCCAAAGGCCTCTTTGTCCTAATGACAACCCCAACATGTTCTCAGGTGCTCTAAAAATGCACAAATAAAAATAAGCAACTGCTTCTCCTGAAAACCATTTCCCTCATTCTTCAGCCCTGATTCGAATTACACCATTCAGTTATCTATTTCCAAAAGAACTTTCTATATGAACTTTCCAGTCCTCTCTTGTCAAATTATCTTACTGTTTTTGGAAAGACTGCATATCATCTATATTTAACACCACTTCAGCTTGGTGAGGTAACTATAACATAGCATTAAACTCAGACTAAAAAAATGAGTGTGGCATTTCTAGGTTTTTCAAGTGTGTTAACTCAGAAGAGATAATTTGAATGGAAAAAGTGCTTTCCCCCAAATGTCTCTGATTTCAATAGAACTTCTTGCAGGTATTTCAATTGAGTTAATCGGCTGGCAATTAGATGCAAAAGGCCTTTGGATTAGTATTTGTGGTCACCATAGAAGCGAGTCTCAGAGAAATGTGAATAAAGAGGTCACCCGAAGAACAGATATGGAAAGTCTCTCCACAGGCACTTAATTCTTAGAAATTTACAGATGAAAAATGCTATATGGGTAATAATAGATAGAAATGAAATATGGATGAGGGGACACTAAAGCTGGAATAGCAAGTAGAACAAAGGGAATAAGGGGATGTGGGGACATGGTAAGAAACTAGACTAGAGCTGCAAACTTGGACAGAACTGTTTAAGACCTAAAAAAAGAAATATCAAGTAAAGGAATGAAGAGATCAGTACTATGAAAAATTATTTGAAGGAGGGCTGGCATGGGACATGGCTATCAGGGAACATGAAAGAAAGAAAAGAATGATCAGAGCATGGGTGACATATTCTTAAGAGGGAAGTCCCAGGATCATTTACCCAGCAATAGATAAGGAAGAGCAGAAGGCCTGGGTGATTTGCTGGCCTGGAGCAAGGCTGTAAGAGAAAGAATGTGTCTGTGGGGGTGTGTGCACTTAGTGTAGCTCACTGTCAGCAGCGAGACAAATCCACCTTTTTAGTATGCAAGTGACCACCTATAGTTTATAAAGACTGCAGAGGGGAAAGTCTAGAAAATATTTTTGCAGAGCTTGGATCTAGATGACCTTCAACATTCTTCTGGGCAAGGGTGTATCTTCCAAGCCCATCACAAAGCCCCCTTGGCACACCACTTCAGACAGGTATTTCATCATGGAACAGCAATGTGGCTGAAGTATCATTCAATTAGCTTATATAATACTAAAGTAAAATACTGAGAGGGAAGAGGAATAGATAAAGGAAAGAGGAAAAAGGAAAGAGGCCTAAGTGCCACTGAAAAAGAAAGGAAGCAGTAAAGGAAGTGAAACCATAAGAATAAATGCTGCAAAAATAACCAGAGAACTATGTAAGAAGGCTGCAAAAAAGGAGCAGGCTTTCTCTTTTCTAGGGAGAAAGGTAGCAAGTGACCCACAGAAAAATCTAAGTATGTAGAACCTGTATGTATTATCCACCTGAGTGTCGTTAAGAGGAGCTGAACTGGAGCAGAAAAGGCACATACTAGGTAGGAAGACAAAGAGGTAAAGTGATGTTTAAATAACAGAACTTAGATGGAGAAAGATACAACTTTACATGCCTTAACTTTTAATCTTGGATTGTTTCCCTGACTAGTCACTGATCACCAGGAAGTGGTTACATTAATTTACTAAGATCTAAGGAAGCAGACACCTGAGTGTGTGCACAACCATAAACACAGTCCTGCCTGTTTCCATTGCTTAGCACTGCTCGTGTACTCCCTGTTTCAGAGTTTTCAGAGCTGCCTGGTTCGGGGTGCATTCAGCCCCACGTCTGCCTGTGTATGCACATTAACACGAGTCTCGATGCTTGTGCTTGTAACCCTGCGCTCGTCCCGCGGTCATCCTTGCTTCCGAGAGGCTGGAGCTGCCGGCGTGGAGGATGCACAATGGAGCCTGCGCCTCGGCATCAGTGAGACACGCATGATCACACCCAGCCTGCCCGGTCCCCCGGGACTCGCACACATAATTAGCCCCTGTACACCAGAGCCTTCATCGCCGTGTTTGCCACATGGTGAGTGTCACCCAGCGGGCCCGCGAACACGCGCACGCAGAAGCCCTCCCGTCCCCAGCACCGCATTTGCCATATGGTCAGGCTCACCTGCTGGGGCTGGGGCAAGGAGACAGACGGGCAACACTCACACACATAATGAAGCTCCCCACCGGGCTGCCTTAAGAAATGAAAAAATAAAATAAAAGTTGACATAAGTGCCACATGACCAGACTCACCTGCTGAGCCTTGGGGCAGGGTGGGGCAGTCACGCACACATGCACTGGCCATCTCTGCCGGTGCTGCCCCTCAGGAGCAGGAGGGATGTGCTCGCTTCCCCTGGGGCAAGAGACCCTGAACCCACACAGGCCCCTCCGCCCCCCGCTGCCCTGAGCTGTGTGGAGGGGAACATGTAACACCAGGACACCGGGCAGTAGGAAGATTTCTTCACAGAAAGGGTGATTAGACGTGGGAATGGACTGCACAAGGAGGCGATGGAGTCGCCGTCCCTGAAGGTGTCAAAGGACTGGACATGGCACTTGATGCCATGGTCTTGGGGACATAGTGGTGCTGGGTCTTAGACTGGACTCGATGATCTCAGAGGTCTTTTCCAACCTAACCGGTACTCTGTGATAACGAGCCTCTCCTCCGCAGCGCCCTATGCGCACCTCAGGCTCACACCGACTCCCACGGGCAGGCAGGAGCCCCGGGAGGAGCTCCGGTACCGGCACAGCTCCGTCCTGCGGGGCGCAGTGACGGCAATTGCCGAGGTGCCGGGCAGCCACCAGGGAGCGGAAAACGAACCCTCCTTTCCCCGTCCGACCAGCGCCGGTAAACAGCGGCCGGGGAGGCGGGGCGGGGCGGGCGCGGCCGCGCGGGTGGGAGCGGTGCTGCGTGAGGGGCGGGCGGCCGGCGGTGCTCCCCTCACGCCCCGCCCGCCACAGCCGCGGCGGCCGCCGGGCTGGGCGAGGATGGAAGCGGACGCTGCTTCCCGCGCAGGCTGTTCCCGGGCAGGGGCTCCCGGGAAAGGCTCTCTCCGGGCAGGATGAGCGCGGGAAGTCGCTCGCAGGGAAGGCTGTCCCCGGGCAGGCTGTCCCCGGGGAGGGCCGTCAGCCCCGCCGCCATGTCGGGGGGGAGCGGGGCTCCCCCATGGCGGTGACGCGCGTTGCCATGGCGACGGCCGGGCGGCGTTGGGGGGGGTGGCGGGATGACAACAAATATGGCGGAGAGGAGCAGGACGGCAGAGACGGGTCAGTGCCAGCCGCAGTCGCCTGGGCGGGGGGAGAGGGGGAGCCCCCCTTCTCCAGGGGCTTCTGGCGGTAGAGGGGGCCTGGCTCGCAGCGGAGTGCGGAGATGGAGCCCTTCTCCTGGGGGAAACGGGGGGGAGCACCTCTGGCCGAGGGCACTGAGGTGGTGAAGGGACCGCGGCAGAGGCTCCTGCCCGAGGAGCTGTGACGAAGGGCAAAGCCCCTTCCCTTGGGGGATGAGGAGAATCTTCCAGGGACAAGGTGGTCGTGGGGAAAGCTCCTTCAGGCAGGCAGAGGGGGAAGAGCCCGCCTCGTTCCAGGCCTGCCTGAGCGGCACTGACCCGCTGTGGCGTGGAAGGTGTGAGGGCCGGAGGCCGCCTCACCCGGCCGGCGCTGCGGGGCCGAGCCCGCCGGGGCAGAGCAGGAGGCTGATGGTGGGGCAGCCTGCACCCTGCCCCACACCTGCCCCGTCCTCCCGCACCCTGCCCCGTCCTCCCGCACCCTGCTCCGTCCTCCCGCGCAGGGGCAAAGGTGGCGGTGGCGAAGAGCAGAGCAAAGCGGCGGTGCAGAGGAGCTCCCCTTACACAAGAAACGACCGCCTGCGTGAATTAGCATGAGAAAACAATACATGAAGATACAGGTCTGGGACTGAAACTTCAGCACAAGGCTGGGAGCTTGCGGGTTGACCTGCAGGTGCTGCTTGACCCGTCTGGGAGGTGTAAAGTACCCGGAGGCTGCAGAGGGACAGCGAGCAGCACACCTGACAGCTCCCATCCCTTACACTGTTGCTGAGGATTTCTTTAAGGAAGGTGTCAAGTGTTATTCTTCCTATTCAGGATGTGTTGACAGTGGCTTTAACTGTGTATGTGAGATAAGTTTGTCTGAAACGGAAGTTTTGTGTCTCCTCATAAATGATAAGGACCCTGTAGGTACAGGGGTCTTTCCTGTTGTAACAAAACACAGTTAAGGTATTTTCCAATCCACGTGAAAAAGAAAGCCCTCAAAATATATTATGAAAATTAGAGATACTAACATTTGGAAGATGGAACAAAGATGACAGCATTCCTGAATATTTAATCTCCCACAGTACCATACATAAATTTTCTGGGTTCCTGAACCAGGAATTCATTTTCCCAGCCTGCTGTGTTAGCTGCTGCACCTCCACTTTTCAGCCTGAGATGTGGCTCCAAATAAATATGCATTACCCATAGAACTGGTCTTGAATTTTTGGTCCACTTAAGTTGAAAAAAAGGGATAACTATGTCAAATGCTGTTGTGTTCTGGTGAATGATACTACAGAGTCTACATCTAAATGGATGTCCATATGGTTCTTGAGCTCCCTGTGTTCAGCCATACTGTTTATGAACCCATGGAAAAACACTGTGAAGTTTATTATGTGTTGAACTTGTCCATGAAGCAGGTGATTATTTTCATTCTCTGCACTCTGCAACACTGTTAACACAAGTGATCAGCTCTGCCTGAGCTGTGGATTGGGGAACAGATCTCTGGTGGCCATTGGACTTTGTCAGCTTTCCTCCCTACCCTCTGTACCTGTGCCCTTGTCAGTAACTTCAACATGGAATGTAACTTTCATACAATTTCCAGATTAATTTACATTGTGTTCTCTGCTGTGTTGCTTAAGCCTGCAGTGTCACAGTATTTGCTTTTTAATTTTAGCCTTGCCCAGAACTTTTCCCACTTCTGACTGTTGCAGCTGACTAACCCATGATTTTCTCATAAACATTGTGTTCCAGCTTATGCAGAATTCATGTTTAGTTGAATGTCCTGGTCCATGTCTGCTTGAGTTATACAGTGCTTGTCTGGCCACTTTGCAAGTTTAATTTGCAGGTCCTTCTGTTTTGGAGAAGCCAGATAAAGAATTAAAAATGCAAAGAACCACAAAGATAGGGAAAAGACCCCAAACCCTCAGAGAAATCAAGCTTATGATCTTGGCCCACTCTCAAGAAAGGTCATGGAAACTAGGCTGTGAGAAAAAAAAGGTGGGATGTTTGGATTTTTTCTGACTGTCAGCTGACACTTAAGTTGACAGCCAGGTTCTTTCCATGGCAAATCCCTCAAAGAATCTCTTTTTTTTTCCTCCTCTTTACTGCTGGGTGACACTGACACTGCTGTTGAACACATAATTGGGGAATGTTCCTGCTGCATCCTCACTGCTTAGTGCGTCTTCATCACTTGTGAGATCTTGAGCAGTCTAGGAGATAAAGGAATGTAGCTCTGGAACCTGCATTTTGCACAGATGCCAGGAGAACAAAGCCATTACAGAAGGACTGTTCAAACCATATAAATCAGTTTAGCCAGTATGTGTTTTTTTTTGTTGTTTGTTTTGTTGTGTTTGTTGTTTTTTTTTTTTTTAACAGCAACATCATGTTTTTAGTTGAGGATCAGAAAACACAAGTAATAACTCATCATCTCCTCATCTTGAAATACTGATTGTTATTTGCAATTTTTGGGTAAGGAAACTGTGTTACAGAGAAATTGAAGGTAACTTACTCATGGTTCATAGCAGCACAGATTGCTGTGATGGACCATTCTTTACTGATTTAGTTCAGAACCCAGGTTTGACAAGAGTCAATGTCAGAAAAAATACAGTGTGCACTTAGAGATAAGGGATTATAAAAATTAGGTTTCTTCCTAAAGGTTATCTGACAGTGAATTATGCACATCTAGGATGCATTTGGCCCCTCTAAACTCTTAGATTTGAAAATACACTGTGGCAAGACATTTTGTAAATTAATGATATTTAGTGGAGAATACATCTTTTTATAAAGCAAGAATTTTTCATTTCAGTTTTATTAGTATCTCTTTCTGTTATAGGGAAGTAAATATCTTAATCTGTCTTTTATTGGTAATTATTCTTACTCTTTCCCTATATACAAACATTTTCATATTCCATTCCTTTCCATTCTTGATGAAGATTTTTGTTTCTGTTTTTGCAAATTTTTAACTTTTTTTTTAATTGGTGAGAGCGATTAGGACACACAGAATTGGACAAAGCATTTCAGAAGAGGGATTTCCATCAGCTTTTAGTCTACTGTTAGACCCAGCATTGTTCTCTACAGCATGGTTTCAGTGCAATTTCAAGTAAAATTGAGACTTAATATGGAAGATGGGTTATCTCACACCTGTCTAGTACAGAGTTCATATTCTGCTGCTGTCCTCACTGGACTAGGCAGACATCTGCTCTAGTCCATTAAAATAGTTTGTGTATTCTGATGTTTGGTTAGAGTGCTGCAAATCAGCTCACTTTACTCTGAATTAATAATTTTACCATTGTAGTTGGCCCCTTTGTCCTACTTGCTTTCTTGAAACTGTTCAAATCAGCTTTTTGCAGTAAACTCTGAATTTGTATGCATCCTGTCTGGTTTTCCAGGCTGAAACCTTCATGTCTCAAACTGGGAATCCAACTTAAAAGCAACATAAATCTTCACAAATGAAGCCTGCAGGAGGAAGGAAACGATTGAGTGCAGTTAGTTACTCTCAGGAGCTTCTTGGTTGAACTTGCAGTTGTTCTGCTCAGCTGCCCTTGCTGTCATAAACCTCTGGAAGATATAGGATACAGGAAAAGAACCAGTTTAGTTAAGTTTCATCAAAACCATGATGAATGTTATTTTTCCAGTTCTGTAGCAAAGAGGACATTTTAGCTTCTCTAAGGAAGGGTTAGGAGTAGGTCATAGTGAGTACAGAATGCCTGTATTTGCTAAAGTTTTTGACCCATGAACCAGATGAAAGTGTTTTTCAATTTAGAATTTCGCTAGTTATCTCATTCTCCCCAGGTTTCTGTTCAAGGCATCTGTATTACCTTCAGAGGACTTGCATCTGGAGACCTGAATGATCAAAGGGTGCAGGTTATCTCTGAGTTCTGTGATAGTTTTCTATCTGAGGCAACTGCATATTAGCCTGGATTGACAGTTCTAATATGTGTTATTCCACAATTGCTAGTCATTTTGTGGATATTAGTATTTCTGGTATTTCATTGTGTCATCATCACTGAAATCATAGTGAAAGCAAGGAAAGGCATTTGCTCACAGTACTGGACAGGATATAAATAAATGTCTTTAGACCAAAAATCCTGGTTATCAGAATGAACAGGCTTCCCAGCTGAACGTGGAGTTTTTAATGTTTATTTACATGTCACAGTCGGTACCTTGCAGAGTGGTGTTGAGTCACATTTCATGTTAAGAAGGTTGGAATTTTCAAAGTATTCACAGTGGTGCTGTGACCTGGCTTCAGGGAGGAAATCTGCAAACCTTTGTTGAATGCTCAAGCCCCACCCAAATTTCTTTAGTAATTAGTGTTCCTAAAACACTTGGTGTTCAGCTCATTATTTTAGAGATCTGCATGTGAAGGGGCCAATAGAGCAGCTGTGTAAATGCTGCAGTGTTTTCTAATTGATTTCAATATGATTGTGCTGAGCTGGATTGTTTTGAAGAAAGCTTTTCATTATTCTTTCAAAAAAGAATAGTTATTCTTTTAAAAATATTTAATCACATGTGGTGTGACAACATTCTAGTATCAGACACATAACTGCTTTCTTTTCAGTGGCCTTAATTATTAAATAAAAAGCCAAAGTAAATAAGAAAATAATTTGTCTTTAAATACAGGCTTTTTTGATAATTAATTCACCAGCTTTATCATGAGGAAATGTAAAATAGGAGAGATCAGCTAATTAACAATAGTACTTAATCTTGGTCATTAAAATAACACTGTACATCAGCGGTACTTCTGATTCTCCAGATAAACTTAATTTCTTCAATTGACTTTTCCTAAATGATTTCTGAATTTTAAAGTGTATACAAACAACAGAGCTTGTTTTGTAATTTGCACAACGAACCTGTGAGCATGGCAGAATTCCAGAGTTTGGGTAAAGACATTGCAGCCTTCGTGCAGGAAGGGATCTGCCCACTGTACCCTCCTATCAACACGAGGAGGCTGCAAACATCAGTGGAAAACTGTGTGGGGACTGGGCCCAGCCTTGCAGATGT